TCAGTGAAGTAATGGTACTGGTTTATTACATCAAAGTCTATACCAATAGATAGCCAAAGTGAAAAAAGTCCTTTTTTTTTGCAATAAGATCAAGAAGCTTGATGAAAAAGCTGATACATGCTCATCAATTGATTGCCCCTTGTGAAGTTTTCATTATTTAGCTGCATCAATTTTTAAAAATGTTTTAATAAACTAGGGGAAGGTTACAAAACAGGACCTTTTGGTTTTAAATCTCTTGTGAGTTTTAAAAGATAAAATTATTATTCCCCTAATTTATTTTTTCAACATGCAGCAACATGTCTTAATTTATCCTGCAGGCTGATGGCACAGTTTTGATAAATCCTGTGCAATTGCTCAATATCGTTCTTGGAATTCCTCATACCATGATGTCAGTATTGGGTGAATCCCAAAAGGGCACAGTGGAAACAAATTGTTTTATGGTATGGTTAAACATACTCGGTGGCCTTTTCCTTCCTTTAAAAATTCTTTTTTATGCTGTACTAAAAGAAGTGAGTAGCTAATGTTTTAGAAAAAGAGAATTTAGCAAGAAAATACCCAGTTTGAAAAGCAACATGAAGTGTTTTACAAAAAAAGGGATTTAGAAAGTTATCAATGTAAATATCACAAAGTCTTCCTCTCTGGAAGTGTAAGATAACCTTTGTGGGAGTTATTAACTACAAAGAGAGTTACTCTCAAACTCTTAATATATTATTTAGTAGGTACACAAGAAAGTGCCTTTCACCTCGTTCCAGTTCAATAAACCCCTTAAAAGCTCCTGAATGTCATTCATTCTTGATTGGGAAGAATTTTTGAAACATATATACACCTGACTATTCCTATTAGACAAATACAAACAAATCATTAAAGGTAAAGGCTCCCCTTGCACATATGTGCTAGTTGTTCCCGACTCTAGGGGACGGTGCTCATCCGTCAAAGCCGAAGAGCCAGCGCTGTCCAAAGACGTCTCCATGGTCATGTGGCTGGAATGACTAAACGCAGAGATGTACGGAATGCTGTTATCTTCCCACCAAAGGTGGTTCCTATTTTTCTACTTGCATTTTTACATGCTTTTAAACTGCTATGTTGGCATTAGCTGAGACAAATAGCGGGAGCTCACTCCATTATGCAGCATTAGGGATTCAAACCGCCGAACTGCCAACCTTTCTCATCAACCAGCTCAGTGTCTTAGCCACTGAGCCACCGCATCCCTTTCAACAAATCATTAGAGTGATTATATTTCTCAGAAATAACTATGGAATTTCTGTACTTGGTTTGTAAGTCTTTGAATAGCTATGTAATGCTGAGAAGTAACATATATATTCTTTAAAAGTATTGGTTTTGTTATAGGAAATGTAAACTAGGTAGCTTCAACCTAGGAAAATCCTTCAGTATATCATTAAACAGAATATACAGGGCGGGGCATAACCTTTTCCTAGGGGGTCACAGCAANACCAGACATGGATGGGAGGGATGGGAATGTGTTGATTTCTCATCTGGGTAAGAGTCATTTGATTGATTTGATTTGATTTATTGAGCATTTATAGGCCGCCCTTTTCCCTGAGGGGACTCAGGGCGGCTTACAATCACAAAGGAAAGGGAGTGTAGGACAGTGCAAAAAGAAATGTGAACAAAAAAAAATTAAACAATTTTTAAGTCAGAGGGGGAGATGGTTATAATAAGTGGAAAGAAACCCTGCCTGTGGAGAGGGTGGGCAGGAGAGGGTGGGAGACTAACCCTAACCCTAATCCTGTCGATGCTGGGAGCTGGTAAACTAAAATGCCTCAGGGTGCCCCAGGACATTGACTGAGAATATTGATGGTTCCTGGATCAGGGAACAGAGGGCCTAGGAAGTAGCTATTGTTTGGAGGTTGAAGATAGACCAAAGTATTATGATGGTGACAGGCATGGAGAAATATGGTGGGAGGCAAGAAATGGGATGTTCTTGGGAACTATAGTATCATGTCTTATAATATAAGTAGTACTTAACCTATCACCATAATGGACCCTGTTCAATTTTCATCCAGTATCTCACTTCCCTTTTGGGGGGAAGGTGGTAGACAAAGTGGTGTTGCAACTTTTCAAAATGCAGTAGCTGCATCCTTTTTAGTCAGGATTCAGACCTGAATATGAAAATGGCATTTGTCATGCTTTTGGATGATGTCTGGTATGGGTGAGATGGGGTAGTGCATCCATCCTTGCCCTTCTTTATATCTCTGTGGCTTTCAATACCATAGGTCATAGTATCGTTCTGGGTTGGCTGAGAAGACTGGGGGTGGGCAGCTAGTTCACATCTTTCCTTCAGGTTGGTTTCACTTGGCAATGATTGGGGAGAAGACGTCTCACCCTTAGCCCCTTCTAAGTAGGGTGCGGCAAGGTTTGGTGCTTTAGATTGGTTCCAGAAGGCCCTCAGGGTTTGGTTATGTGACCAAACCTAGGACTCCCATAGAATTGGAGACTCCCATGGATAAATAGCTCCATTGTTGAGGGGGGCATTTTTATTTTCTCTTCACTTTGGTTATATTTTAGGTTTTAGGATATTTGTTGTTACATATTTTATATATTTGTATTCACTGTTATTATTTGTTTATATATATACTGTTGTGTGCTACCCAGAGTCACCTTCAGGGAGATGGATGGCTGCATAAATTTGATTAATAAATGAATAAGAGAATAATGGTTTCCATATTTTTCCATCACAAAATATTTTACAAAGTTTTAATCACTTAGCAATTCTAGGTCTTGCAACTGGGAATCCAGCTGTGCAATCATGGATAGATATTAACTGAGAGATTTCTTGTTTTCTATGCTGTTATATGTTCTATCTCAGGAAAACATATGGAGGAGAAAACAGAAAACAGAAGTGTGGCTCTGGCATTTTTTCTGTAACTCACTGCTTCTCTTGACACTGAATTCTCTCTTTAGCTACAATAGAAGGAAGTCTGGGCAAAATGTTATTTGAATATGTTGACTGTTATCTTTGATTCAACTAAGGCTGGATATATCCATTTATACAGGCCAATGTATAATGGACCAACTACTTACTAGGCATACAGAGAATCAGGCAAAATATAGGAAATCCTAATTCTAGATGCTTCTTTGGAAAAGTGTAAAAAAATATCCCACACATTCTAATATTCTGCTTTGAATATTAGAACTAAATGACCCAAAGTGGTGGATCTATATCAGTAACGGTTTCCTCTTATCTTTGCTACCGTTTTGGAACCAGGAACGTGCGCGGCGCTTCTGCACATGCACAAAGTGTCCGTGATGGCGTCTGGGCAGGTAGGCGGAGCCTGCCGCCACTGCTACAGGTTCACCCGAACCGAGGCAAACTGGCAGAATACCACCACTGATCTATATGTGTTTGACAATGCCATAGAAACCTGTCCATGGACAGACAGAGAACTTTGCCTGGAAAACAGCAAGAATGACATCATATCCCCTTCCTTTTCTTTTTATTGTGAAAGTTTGTTTTACTTGATTTTTAATCTCACAGTATTCTCACACTTTCCCCATTATGGTTCCTTTAAACTCTGAGACAGAATTTTTAGATGCATTTTTAAGATGGTTTAAAAAAAATGCATCCAAATGTGACTGTGTACTACTGTTAAGGTAAGTAATACAGTATTACAGTAAAGTCATGGTTATCAGGTCACTTGGAGAAACAGTTTTATAAAATATATTTTTTAAGATGCTGCTTTTTTATTTTAATTAATTATATTGACTTTAGATCCCAGAATCTTTCTTAACAGGTATATGAATTTTGGAAATAATGTCCACTACCTAGATAAGATCAGGCTTGGAGAAAACTGAAATCTATTTTCCCTCCTTTAAAAAAAAAGATATTGCTCTCCCTGCTAACAATTGCAGAAAATGCCTCCGTTCACATTTGTGGTTTATAAGTAAACTATAAAGATTTGAAGACTCAGCACAATCCTGGATTTAAAATTGGTGGAGCATTTACCATTTGAAGAATTAAACCACGTCACTTTCATTTCTGTCTTTATATTTGGTGCTTGATTATTCAGTATTTCGCACTTTGAAACCTGTGAATTTCATAAATGTCTAAATCCATGAACGTTCAAAGGTTTTACTTATTTGTATTTAAGAAGGACGCAGAACCAGACCAGAAAGAAAAAAATGCACAGAATGGATCTCTCATTACATTTTTAGGGGGGCTCCCATATGGGTAGCATGTTCACAGAGTTTTTCAATCAATTCTGGCATTGGTCTCCATGTCAGTAATTTGAATTGCAAATGATTTCAGATAGTTCATAAAGGCAGTACAACTGGAACAAAGAGGGTGAATGCAGAATACATCCCAGCTCATTGTCTCTTGTGTAATCATCATGAGAAAGGAGAAAATGGCATGCTACTATATTTGAAGGGCCCTAATCACTCACGTAAATTCAAAGTGATAAATTTAATTATGAATAAATAAGTAACCTCTGTGGATGAAGTTCAGCGAGATGGGAGTAAGTGAATCATCGTCACTTCTAAACATTTCTCACTTCAGTTGATGATGAAGTTTGTGCAAGGCTGAAACAGAAAGCCTCCTTTATCTTTGGTGTTACAAAAAGCTGCCTCTTCATGCTCCACAGATCAAATTGCCAGCAAAGAGATAGGGAAGGCAGAACAAAGGAAAAGCTCACAACACATATTTGAAGTGAATGAGTTTGTGCTTTGCAATGAAAGGTATTGTGCAAAATAACAGGGACAAGGAAGCTGCACAATATATATTATATATATATCTTGAATCTTGTTTTATTGTTTTATGAAATGTTGAATGGTTTGCATTTTGTTTGCTTTTTTTTTACTTAAGCGTATTAGAAATGTAAAATAGATTCCTTAATTTTCTGTTTGTAGATCAGTATCTTATTCTTATTTTTTTTTAAAAGAAAATATTAAAAGCCAGAACTCTTATCTATAGGGATCACTAAAATGTTGAAATATTATCTATCCTTCTACCTGGGAGGAAGAAAAGTTTGCAGTGCAAGTTGATTCATTTCTGTTTTCCAACAGACCGACACTGAAAAGCATTTCCAAGTGGAGCGGAATTCCTTGTGGTCTGGTGATGAAATAAAAAAATCAGATGGAGGCTCAGACAGTGGTGTAAAAATGGAGCCTGGATCTAAATGGAGAAGGAATCCCTCTGATGTGTCTGATGAATCCGATAAAAGCACTTCTGGAAGGAAGAACATCGTCATTTCACAGACAGGATCCTGGAGACGGGGCATGTCGGCTCAAGTTGGTATTACCACGCCGAGGATGAAAACGGCAGCCACCTCAGGAACTTTGAAGACACCTGGAACAGGTGAGGAATGCACGGCCAAAAGCCATGCAGTGCAGGCCAAGAATGTTTGCTGTTAGTATTATTTTTTTTTAAAAAAAGAATTCCTCTGCCAGGATTTTAACTGCATTTTGATCTGTGGTCCTTTTTGATGGTGAATATAGCAATAAATCTGTTTCTCTGGTTGCCTTTGCCAAATTAAAGGGATACTGATAACTGAGATTTGATCAGGAAAAGGCATTTGCTTGCATGAATGATAGTGTTAATCAATAGGGTTTGCAATTTATATAAATCTAAAAGATACCTACAGAACGTTTAATAAGAGCTAGTTTCTCCATTGGTTTTCAATCCACCCTTAACTTGGAAATCTGTCTAAGGCTGTGTATTTTGAACAAGAGATTTTTGCTACAACTAAATTATACCACAGTTTACCCTGAAGGTTTTCTGGAGGAGAGAGACTATTTTTACTTCCTTTTATTCTCATTTCTAATTGTACATAATTAAGTAGCAATATCCCTCATCAGCACTCAAAATGCTAGATCTTTACACTACAATCTGCTAGACATCATAGCAGCTCAAAGGAAGTAAGGAGGATAATATAGGTAGTCCTCATGTTATGATGGCAACTGGAACCAGAATTTCCAGTGCTGAGTGAGGGTGGTATCATGTGACTGCATCACTTAGGGACACCAGTCCCAGCTGACCTAGTTGCTATCATAACCCCAGGGTTGCATAGGCTGTTAGGTAGGAAGAAGCAGCAGTCCCTAGCCAGCAGTCTACTGGGACAAGAGAGTACTGCAGTCAAGAGTTACAGAGTGTGAGGGTGCCATGGGCGGGTGTAAATTTAAAATGGCCTGCTCAGACTAAAATTTTAATTTTTAAATTAAATCTTCTTAAAACATCTTTAATTCAGACAAATAATTTCCTGAGCTCATGTGGCTACCATGTGAACTCAAAAGTAAGAACTGTTAACCAGTAAAACTGATTTCCCCTTCAAGTGGCACATTCACTTTTACTGGAGTGTTTCAAGCTTTTAGCCAACTGAAGACTTTTATATCACTCCTGAGTCTTCTTTTCTCATTCTCTTTCAATGCTAGTTACATAAATATTTTGTTCTATTGTATGAAAAGCTACATTGATGTTGCCTATATCAAGCATATTCAACTACCATAGGGTAGAGGTATCTCAAATGCTAGTTCTAGCTAACAATGTAGTTTTTCATGTAATAGAACAAAACAGTTGTAACTTTACATTTGTAACTTTACATTTTTAGACTTAAATAGAGACATGGTGGCTCAGTGGTAAGACATTAAGTTTGTCGATCAGAAAGGTTGGCAGTTCGGTGGTTCGAATTCCTAGTGCCCCATAACAGAGTGAGCTCCCATTACTTGTCCCAGCTTCTGCGAACAGCAGTTTGAAAGCATGTAAAAATGCAAGTAGAAAAATAGGAACCACCTTTGGTGGGAAGGTAACTGCATTCCATGCGCCTTAGTGTTTAGCCATGCTGGCCACATAACCACAGAGAGGTTTTTGGACAATGCTGGCTCTTTGGCTTTGAAACAAAGATGAGCACTGCCCCCTAGAGAAGGGAACGACTAGCACATATGTGTCAGGAGAACCTTTTACCTTTAGACTTAAATAGCATATTAAGTATTTTCTCCTGGTGCTCAAATATATTAATAATTTACAAATAACTTAAACATATTAAAATGTTTCTGCGTAATATTTGAAACCGTTCAATATTTAAAATTGTTTTCTTTCTCCTTTTTTTTTAAAGGGAAAACCGATGATGCCAAGGTTTCAGAAAAGGGCAGAGTTTCTCCCAAATCTGGAAACATTAAACGTTCCCCTTCAGATGCTGGGAGGAGCAGTGGGGATGAATCAAAAAAGCCTTCCGCCAATAACTGTAGAACGGCTACGACTAATACAAACATGTTTGGATTTAAAAAGCAGAGTGGGTCAGCTGTAGGTGTGACCATGATTACAGCTAGTGGAGCAACTATTACTAGTAGAGCTGCTACTCTGGGCAAAATACCCAAGTCATCTGGACTCATCGGAAGATCTACTGGCCGGAAGACTAGTGTTGATGGTTCACAAAATCAGGATGACGGCTATTTAGCCATTTCTACCCGAACCAATCTTCAGTATCGGAGTCTACCCCGCCCCAGCAAATCCAGCAGCAGAAGTGGAGCTGGCAATAGATCTAGCACCAGCAGCATAGACTCCAACATAAGCAGCAAGTCTGCAGGTTTGCCTGTTCCTAAAATAAGAGAACCAACAAAAGTTGCCCTTGGGAGCTCTCTGCCAGGATTAATAAATCAGACTGATAAAGAGAAAGGGATATCCTCAGATAATGAAAGTGTGGTCTCTTGTAACTCTGTTAAAGCAAATCCATCACCTCAGACAATGTCCAGTGCATCCCAGAATACTCACCAGCAAGGAGTAAAGTACCCAGATGTGGCCTCTCCTACACTGCGCAGGTAATTATAGTTTTTTTTCATTTGAATTGTTTTATTTCAAAGATGTGAAGAAACATTCTGGAAGTTATCCTTGATGATTTTAGGTCTGGAATAGATATCCTTTTATTAGATAAATAGATGATTAGATAGATAGATAGATAGATAGATAGATAGATAGATAGATAGATAGATAGATAGATAGATAGATAGATAGATAGATAGATAGATANTGGCAAGCCACTCCCACAAAGCAGGCCACACCTACAGAAGAGGTTCTAAAAAAATTTGAAACCCACCACTGCAATAGTCTAACTATCACCCCAAGCTACTAATATTCAAACACATTTTAATTTCTTTAAATACCTGATTTCAAGTATCCAACATACATGTCATTTGATTGGTCAACTGAGTGAAAAGAAGTTATAGCTGAATAGATTTTTAGGTTTTTATTTCCCTTAGCTGAATTCCAATGATCCTATCTTTGCTTACAGAGTCTGGAAAGCAAGAGTTTTAAGAGAGCTATTGTATTTCTATCTTTACCTTTAAACCTGAACTACAGGGAGTCCTCAACTTACAACAGTTCATTTAGTGACTGACCAAAGTTAAGAACAGCACTGAAAAAAGTGACTTATGACCTTCTTCATACTTATGACCATTGCAGCATTCCCATGGTCACATGAACAAAATTCAGATGCTTGGCAACTGACGGTTGCAGTGTCCTGGGGTCACATGATCCCCTCTTGCAATCTTTTGACAAGCAAAGTCAATGGAGAAGCCAGATTCACTTAACAACCATGTTACTAACTTAAATTCACTTAAGAACTGAGGCAAGAAAAGTCGTAGAATGGAGCAAAACTCACTTAACAAGTGTTTGACTTAGCAATATGAATTTTGGGCTCAAGTGTGATTATAACTTGAAGACTACCTGTACTGAAATGCTGATGCCTAGAAATTGCATCACTATTTTTGTAATGAAGTTATCTAAAAGAATCATTTTCAATTTCGTTTATTGAAAAGATGATAAGGTTTTATAGATCTATCATACATTTTTCTTCTGTACCTCCCAATGGGATATATTACAACAAAAGCCTTTCTTTATTCCCATGCAAATATCATTGCTAGCTTTGATATATATTGCATTAGTATACTAGAGGAAAATTATATGACTCTACGGAGATTAAATTGATGTCCTTCTCTCAATTCAAAGGAAATGGCAGAAAAATCTAATTACCTCCCATAAATTCAGGAGGTAATTAGTTTTTGAGGAATAAGAATTTTTTTCCCTGTAAGAAAGAAGAGAGGAGCTTGCATTCTGAATCAGTAATAGGAACTGCTACATCTGACCAAAATCATAGTCTGCTAGTTATTTACTGAAATTAGAAGATCATATCTTCTGAGTTTATCTTTTCCAACTACTGTTTATGTTCTACATTTCATAATAAATTGCAAACAGCTGGGTGAGTGCCTAATAATTCCCTAGGGCTGCCTTGTTTAAAAAGGCATATATATTCATTTTTCTCTCTCTTTGCATTTGTATTTAATGCAAAGCATATAATATGAAAGTTGCAACAGTATGTGTAGTTGCATTAGTTTCTGGGCTACACTCACATGTTCAGATGAAAGAATGCATCTATAGTTTTGAACCTACTATTCCTGCCTTTGTACTTGGTAGAAAAGGATAGAAGGTTATTTAAAACCTTAAGGATATGATCATTCGTTGGTTAAAATTTTGGAAATTAGAGCCAGCAGATCCCTTTGGGATACACCTCTTTTCCTATATTACATTCTGCCAATTGCACCTGAATTTAGAAGTCTGTATATTGAGAAGGTTGATGAAAGGGCAGATCCTTCTGTCAGAGACACCTATGAAAGGAGGCGTGCTCACAGGTGCACTTTGAGGGCGTCCCTAGGGAACACAAATGAGTTCCTTTTTTTGAAGCCGTTCAAAGTTTGCTTCATTTGATACTTTCTAGTTTCTCAGTCATGCCTATCCAGTTCCCAAGGATCCCTTCATCCTGCTCCATGTGATATTTCCCAATCCTGTTTACTGGTTATAGAATATCCTAACTTGAATACATAGGTGTTCATGCACCAAACACCCTTAGCAGTTGTGCATAATTATCCATAAATATTTATTTTAATAGTATATTGTGGGAAACTTCTCTGAAATATTATATAATTAAATAACCGATAGTGACATGGTAGATTTTTTGTTATTAGGATGCAAGTAGATTTAACCAAACACTTCTTTATAAGGAAAACAATATAGAAAATTAAAAACAAAAACTTGCATTGAGTAAATAGAAGGAAAAGAAAGGAAATGGACAATTGGTATACTTAAAAAGAGAAAAATACAGGAGGTCTTTGCGGGAAAAAATTAAGTCATTCTAAAAAAACCACAAGGTTATTTGATGTATATTTTAATAGAAACCATTTATATGAATTTAATTTAAATTAAATATTATAGGTTTGCCAATGATTGATCATCTAAATCAGTGGTAGTCAACCTGGTCCCTACCGCCCACTAGTGGGTGTTCCAGCTTTCATGGTGGGCGGTAGGGGTTTGCT